TATAAAAATAAAGAATATAAGACATATCTGTATAAAAGACACACAGTTTTGTGTAGTATATATATATATATATATATATATATATATATAGTCATCTAGTATAAACAATATAAAATCTTAAGTTTGTGGTTACAACTAATGGAGATGCGCATTGCAAAGAGGGAAAAACTGTCCAACATCCGCGGGAAGGTGAAGCTTCCAACAGAAGAAGAAGAAGAAGAAGAGGGATATGAAAAATGGTATGCTGAAAACCAAAAGGTGAAAACATGGTTACTGATGTCCATGGAGCCAAAAATCATGAAAATGCATCTTTGACTACCCACTGCCCTTGATATTTGGAATGTTTTGCCAAGTCTTTGTCTTGAATCAAAGGGCATTGACTGCAAAACAAAAATAATAGAATACTAAGGACCCTAATGATGTGAAATCATATCAAAAGTCAATTGAGAGATTGGAGGTACATATATTCCTTGCTGGACTGGATAATGATTTTGAGCAAGTTCATGGAGAAATCTTATGCAAGGAAGTAATACCTGATTTAAAAGAACGTTATGCCTTGATTAGGCGAGAGACAATCTGACGAACAACATTGGAGACAAAAAATATGAATTCAGATTCCACAATTATGATGACAAGGAAGCAAGCCAAACAATCAAAAAAGGTTATGAAAAGGGTATCTACAAGTGTACTCAGTGTAATAAGGATGGACACACCAAGGAATAATGCTATGAAATCATTAATTGGATATCCCGAGTGGTGGGATCATAGTCAGGCATCGAAGAAGAATTCAAAAAAAACATTCAATTGTTGCTACTATAATTACCAATGAGAAAGAGGATGACAAAGGCATGTTACTTGCTACAATTATAGGCAGTGGTGACCTTAATGGTAAGGCCTTAATAAGTACATCCATTATTTTGAATATTGACTTTGCATGTTCCGATCATGTGACTTTTAACACTAGATATATTAAAAATCTTAAATCTTCCTTACAAAAAAGAATTTTCACAACCAATGGCAATAAATATCCACTATCATTGGAGAGGGAAGTGTCTCTATTTCAAACAATTTGAACCTTGTTGTTCCTTCTCTAAAATATAACATATTATCAATCTCTCAAATAACCAAAGCGTTATTATGTGTTATAATTTTTGGACCTGACTCTTGTGTTTTTAAGGACATTCAAACCAGAAAGATGATTGTTGTGGTATTAGATGAGGAAGCTTGTATTACCTAGATTTGACAAAAAAAATATTTAGAGAGCCTTAGTCAAGTGCTAGCAACAAAAGGGTCTCAAGAAGTATGAAAAGGCGATGATATTTGGTAACGGCATAAACGTTTAGACATGCATCTTTTGGTTACTTAAAGAAATTATTTCCAAATATAACAAATAGACACTTCAACTTTGAATTGTGATGTTTGTGAGCTTGCAAATAGTCATAGAACTTATTTTCTTTTAATTTCAAGCAAGTTCTTTTTTATTTATGATTATTTGCTTTGATGTATGGCGTCCATCGAAGGTTCAATACAAGAAAATTGTGACACAATACGTATCACTAAAAACTACTTTTACTCACACAATAAATATAATATATGTTGGTATATTGTTAAAAAGTGTAGGTATAGACTATAGTGACACACAAAATATGTTGTTAAATCTCATTCAAAATCAACACTAAAATTGTATGTAGATATATGTCAAATAGGTATATACTTATATATATTATACCTATAGTGACACTTTTTGTATGTCACTATATGGAACATTTTTTGTAGTAGTTACAACGTTGGGTGGCTCAACATGGTTTGTAATGTTCATTGATGATTGTACTCAAGTGACTTGGATTTGTATGATGAAGTCTAAAAGTGAAGTTGGATGACTATTTCAAAAATTTTGCAAAATGATTGAAACTCAGTACAAAACACAAGTTTAGGTACTACCTAATGACAATGAGGAAAAGTATATGCAATTAGAACTTCAAAAAAAAAGTTATAACTAAAGGAATTGTTTATCAAATATCTTGCGCCCAAATACTCCACAGCAAAATGGGGTGGCAAAATGAAAGAACCAGAGGTGGTCTGAGTTGCACTAATTGGAGCTCACATGCCAGCAATATATTAGGGAGAAGCTATCGTATGTGTTGTATACATTATCAACTAAACATCATCCAAATTTCTTGAGTATAAAATACCATTTCAATCACTTATAGATACAGTAGTAAGTCCTAGAATTTTTGAATTGGCACACAGAGTTTTTGGTTGTATCGCTTATGTTCACTTACACACGCATCAAAGAAGTAAGTTGTCTCCTAGAGCTAAAAAGTGTGTGTTCCTTGGCTATGTTACTCATGGAAAGGATATCGATGCTACCATTCACAAACCAAGCGAATGTTCACTACTATAGATGTAATTTTTCATGAGATATTAATGTATTTTTCATCGAGTCTAAAATTCAAGGGGAAAATTGTAATGAAATTCATACTTTTGTCCCTCAAGAAGTTAATACTAAGGTCACATTGGAGAAAGAAATTACAAAGTTGTACTAAGAGAAGATGACAGTGTGCAACAATCTGGCAATCTGCAGTCGCATAATAAAGAAGAGGTACATCATAAAAGATTTGAACATATCGAGATTGAAAGCTTTCCACTTAATATTGACAATGTACCACACCAGTTGTTTCAACAAGAACCAAATACAGTTAAAAGAATCTTATCATATCGTGTCACTAAAGGTGTCCCTAAGCCTACTTATGATCATGACCTTATTAGTAAGAATAGATACCATATGAACAATTACACTTATAAACAAAATCTGTCTGTCTCAAATAACGCATTTATAAGTCAATTATCTAGTGCATCTATTCCTAATCGTGTGCAAGAAGCTTTATCTGACTCAAGGTGGAAAGATATTGTGAATGAGGAGATGAGATCCTTACAAAGAAATGAAACATGAGAATTGGTGGATTGTCCATTTGGAAATAAACTAGTAGGATGTTGATGGGTTTACACAGTAAAATTTATTGCAGATAGTATAATTGAGAGATTCAAAGCTAGATTAGTGGCAAAGGGGTATACACAAGCATTTAGAGTATATCATATTGAAACGTTTGCTCCTCTAGCCAAAATTAGCACAGTTTGAGTTTTATTGTCTCTAATTATAAACCTTGATTAACCCTTCCAACAATTTGATATAAAAAATGGCTTCTTACACGAAGAACTATCTGAAGAAGTTTATATGGAACTACTATAAGGATGTTTGATCCCAAATACACATAGTAATAAGGTGTGCAAGCTAAATAAGTCATTATATAGACTAAATAAATTGCCACGAGGATGATTTGGAAGACTCACCAAGTCAATGATTGCATTTGGATATCGACAGAGCAACCAAGATCATACCATATTATAAAGAAAAAAGAAGAAAAGATTACAATTCTTATTATTTATGTCGATGATATGGTAGTCACGAGAGATGATCTAGAGGAATGCAAGGTGTTGAAAGAACATTTGACAAAGAATTTCAAGATGAAGGATATTTGACCTTTGAAGTACTTTCTTGGAATTGAGGTCTTAAGATCAAAGTCAAACATTTTTCTATCTTAGCAAAAGTACACATTGGATTTATTGAAAGAAACTAGGATGACAGCATGTAAACCAACAAATTCTCCAATTAAAGGGGGATTGAAGTTGTTTATTGAAGGAGATCAAACTCAAACTAACAAGGGAAGATATCAAAAACTTGTAGAAAGATTGATGTATCTTGCACACACTAGATCAGATTTAGCTTAATTATTCTCTTAGTATGGTTAGTCAGTTCATGCACAATCCAACTGAAAAACACATGGATGTTGTCATGCAAATCTTAAGACACATAAAGGTTGTTCCTGGAAAAGAAATTCTATTCAAGAAGAACTCCAACTACCAGGACGTGATGGTTTATATTAATGTAGATTAGGCAGGTGCTCTTGATGATTGAAGATCAACCTCTAGATATTTCACATTTGTAAGAGGTAACCTTATCACATGGAGAAGCAAAAAAGCAAAGTGTTATAGCTAAATCCATTGCAAAAGCTGAACTCAAAGAATGGTTCTTGGACTCTGTGAAGGTTTGTGGCTCAAATTACTTCTCCAAGACTTAGGGTATGTACATACGTGTCCT